AAATAAACTACTAACTCTTTTACGCTACGTCCACACCTACACGGGTATTTTTGAAAACACAGCTGTTTCGTCCACACGTAAATGGCGTTTCGAATCACCGAAAACTGAGGGTTTTTTTAAACTCCTTTTTTGCGTTTACATGTGGACGAGGAATACAGAGTTCGTCACGCAACGTCAAAGGTATGTGCCTTTTTTCACATCACGCTGTGCGCCACGTTATTATTTACATGGGATAAATTGCAGAATTGCAGAATAGCAGATAGAGACAAAATACTGTTAATATGACTATCTGCAGGTTTTACACGCATACATGTACACACGCAGTTACTGTCCCTCCAGAAAGGCAGAGGTGTCACGGTGTGATTATTTTACATGTAGTTGTTTTTTTCCCTGTGTAATAATATTCAACATTGCTATCAATACATTTTTCAAAAAATGCCTCTCTGTGCAAAATGGGTTTAAAAACATAAACAACTGTGGGATACTGTTTGACTGTGATTTAAACCGGGGGAACAAATCGTCAGGATCAGCGTGATATTATTTGTATCCCGCCGGGGTGCCAGAGGCAGTGTTCGTCCAGGTCGCCCAACAGGCTTGGACCGTCACTGGTCACAAGTTGATCTGGCTGTAGGCTATGGCACATGGCCAGAGGTGGCGCTGGTTGATACGAGTCCATGTTAGTGCACACAAAGTAAACTGCACGCTTTAGTTGTGAAGCAAAAACGCTGAAATTGGAGAAATAAAACGTACAAGGGGAACGATAATGACAACAAGATTCTCCCGATCGTTTACTCTTGCTGTCCTGTGAACAGCATCGACGGGGTGTTAACTGTTTGCTGTTTTTGTGATCGCGTCAAGCAAGTGTCACAGCTGACACATTTGGCGTTTTTTTTGCTGGTTTGTCGGTAGCAGCTCCTGAAAAGCAAGTCTGCCACACATCTGACGCTAATTGGCTGCTGGCCCCACAAACAGTCAATTAAAAGTTTGAAAACTCACCGATTCCATTCCGTTCAGTCCACGACAACACTACGGCTCAGGCACACAGTAATCGGTGTCTAAGTCGCATAAGGTTATAATTGGTATTAAAAATGCATTAAAATGGGAAAAGCAATTGTTTGCCAATACAAACCTGTAACAGCTCTGTCACCTGGCTTGCCTCCACGCATATGACGTAGTGATGTGTCGGTCGCAAACGAAATGGCTCTTAGAGCCGACTCTTTGAATTGGACGACGCGATGCGGTGCCGTGTTTTCTTTTCTTTTCTTTCTCTCACCCTCTCTCTTGCACTTTTTTTCCGCTTCACTCGCACACGAGCCTTGTGCTTTGCACTGGGCAGAGGGGGGAGGGGC